TTTTGGTCGTTTTGGTGTCCTCTTGGGCCGTCCTGGGGGCCTTGAACCGTTTCACCACCAAAAAAACATTAGCCTGACGAGAGACCCAACCATGCGTAGTTGTGAATACCACAGTTGTGGATATATTCCTCGGTGGCGCCCCCGGGCCACGAAACGAGTGAGGGGTGTGCCGAAATGGGGGGAGTGGAACCGCATGCGAGCGCAGCCACTGGGGCCTTCGGTGGAGCTCCCTATGGGGCCACGAAACGTGTGAGGGGTGTGCGAGAATGGGGGGTGGAACCGCATGGGAGCGCAGCCAATGGGGCGCTCGGTGGAGCTCCCTATGGAGCCACGAAGCGCGTGAGGGGTATGCCAGAATGGGGGGTGGAACCGCATGCGGGCGCAGCCACTGGGGCCTTCGGTGGAGCTCCCTATGGGGCCACGAAACGTGTGAAGGGGTATGCCAGAATGGTGGGTGGAACCGCATGCGGGCGCAGCCACTGGGGCCTTCGGTGGAGCTCCCTATGAGGCCACGAAGCGTGTGAGGGGGGGTGCCAGAATGGGGGGTGGAACCGCATGCGGGCGCAGCCACTGGGGCCTTCGGTGGAGCTCCCTATGGGGCCACGAAACGTGTGAGGGGTGTGCCAGAATGGGGGGTGGAACCGCATGCGGGCGCAGCCACTGGGGCCTTCGGTGGAGCTCCCTATGGGGCCACGAAACGTGTGAGGGGTGTGCCAGAATGGGGGGTGGAACCGCATGCGGGCGCAGCCACTGGGGCCTTCGGTGGAGCTCCCTATGGGGCCACGAAACGTGTGAGGGGTGTGCCAGAATGGGGGGTGGAACCGCATGCGGGCGCAGCCACTGGGGCCTTCGGTGGAGCTCCCTATGGGGCCACGAAACGTGTGAGGGGTGTGCCAGAATGGGGGGTGGAACCGCATGCGGGCGCAGCCACTGGGGCCTTCGGTGGAGCTCCCTATGGGGCCACGAACGTGTGAGGGGTGTGCCAGAATGGGGGGTGGAACCGCATGCGGGCGCAGCCACTGGGGCCTTCGGTGGAGCTCCCTATGGGGCCACGAAACGTGTGAGGGGTGTGCCGAATGGGGGGTGGAACCGCATGCGGGCGCAGCCACTGGGGCCTTCGGTGGAGCTCCCTATGGGGCCACGAAACGTGTGAGGGGTGTGCCAGAATGGGGGGTGGAACCGCATGCGGGCGCAGCCATGCGGGCGCAGCCACTGGGGCCTTCGGTGGAGCTCCCTATCGGGCCACGAAACGTGTGAGGGGTGTGCCAGAACGGGGAGTGGAACCGCATGCGGGCGCAGCCATTGGGGCCTTCGGTGGAGCTCCCTATGGGGCCACGAAACGTGTGAGGGGTGTGCCAGAATGGGTGTGGGAGGGGGAGGAGGGGGGAGGAAGGGGAGGAGGAGGAAGGAGGAGGAACGCGGAGCAACGTCTCTTCAAAACGAGGACCCAACACCACAGGATGGTTGGGAATAAAGAAACGGGCTGTGGAAGGCGCCCGCGAACTCGAAAAAATACAATTAGCCTGGCGAAGAACCCAACCATATGCAGTTGTCACTACCGCAGCTGCGGGTTTCATCTTCAATGGAACTCCCCATAGGATTACGAAACGTGTGAGGGGTGTGCCGAATTGGGTGCGGGTGGTGACGCATGCGGGCGGCAGCACTGGGGCCTTCGGTGGAGCTCCCCATGGGGCCACGAAACCTGTTGTTGTGAGGGGCGTGCCGGGATGGGTGGCGGGGACGCATGTGAGCGCGGCCGCTGGGGCCTTCGGTGGAGCTCCCTATGGGGCCACGAAGCGTGTGAGGGGTGTGCCGAATTGGGTGGGTGTGGGTGACGCATGTGAGCGCCGCCACTGGGGCCTCCGGTGGATGATGGGGCCACGAAACCTGTCAGGGATGTGCCGAAATGAGTGTGCGGGACGCATGCGCATGTGAGCGCCGCCACTGGGGCCTTCGGTGGAGTTCCCTATGGGGCCACGAAACGTGTGAGGGGTGTGCCGAAATGGGTGTGGGTGACGCATGCGGGCGCGGGCACTGGGGCCTTCGGTGAGCTCCCTATGGGCCACGAAACGTGTGAGGGTGTGCCGAAATGGGTGGGGGACGCATGCGGGCGCGGGCACTGGGGCCTTCGGTGGAGCTCCCTATGGAGCCACGAAACGTGTGAGGGGTGTATGGGTGTGGGTGACGCATGCGGGCGCGGGCACTGGGGCCTTCGGTGGAGCTCCCTATGGGGTGTGAGGGGTGTGCCGAAATGGGTGTGGGTGACGCATGCGGGCGCGGGCACTGGGGCCTTCGGTGGAGCTCCCTATGGAGCCACGAAACGTGTGAGGGGTGTGCCGAAATGGGTGTGGGTGACGCATGCGGGCGCGGGCACTGGGGCCTTCGGTGGAGCTCCCTATGGAGCCACGAAACGTGTGAGGGGTGTGCCGAAATGGGTGTGGGTGACGCATGCGGGCGCGGGCACTGGGGCCTTCGGTGGAGCTCCCTATGGAGCCACGAAACGTGTGAGGGGTGTGCCGAAATGGGTGTGGGTGACGCATGCGGGCGCGGGCACTGGGGCCTTCGGTGGAGCTCCCTATGGAGCCACGAAACGTGTGAGGGGTGTGCCGAAATGGGTGTGGGTGACGCATGCGGGCGCGGGCACTGGGGCCTTCGGTGGAGCTCCCTATGGAGCCACGAAACGTGTGAGGGGTGTGCCGAAATGGGTGTGGGTGACGCATGCGGGCGCGGGCACTGGGGCCTTCGGTGGAGCTCCCTATGGAGCCACGAAACGTGTGAGGGGTGTGCCGAAATGGGTGTGGGTGACGCATGCGGGCGCGGGCACTGGGGCCTTCGGTGGAGCTCCCTATACGCCACGAAACTGGGGCCTTCGGTGGAGTGGGCCACGAAACGTGTGGGTGTGCCGAAATGGGTGTGGGTGACGCATGCGGGCGCGGGCACTGGGGCCTTCGGTGGAGCTCCCTATGGAGCCACGAAACGTGTGAGGGGTGTGCCGAAATGGGTGTGGGGACGCATGCGGGCGCGGGCACTGGGGCCTTCGGTGGAGCTCCCTATGGAGCCACGAAACGTGTGAGGGGTGTGCCGAAATGGGTGTGGGTGACGCATGCGGCGCGGGCACTGGGGCCTTCGGTGGAGCTCCCTATGGAGCCACGAAACGTGTGAGGGGTGTGCCGAAATGGGTGTGGGTGACGCATGCGGGCGCGGGCACTGGGGCCTTCGGTGGAGCTCCCTATGGAGCCACGAAGCGGTGTACTGGGTGGGTGAAGAGGAGAAGAGGAGAGGATGATAGGAGGGGAGGGAAGGCGGAGGAGGAGAGGAGGAGAGGAGACGCGGGGCACCGTCTCTTCAAAACGAGGACCCAACAACACAGGTTGGTTGGGAAAAAGGAAACGGCCCACTCTGGCCATTAACGCTCGTACGTCTGGCCCTCGCCCCTCCCCTGGACCCCTCCCTAAAAGACTTCGCCCCACCAAAACGTCATCGCTCGTACCTCGCTGTTTCCGTTACCTGGGCCGGCACACGGAAACGGAAAGAGCGCCTCGGGAACTTGCCCGAGAAAGCTCTTGAAACCCTTCGCTCCGGGGAGCATTGGCGTGAATACCTTGTTACGTCGCCGCTCTCCGTTGGGAGCCCCGGTGTTCAGATACTTTTACGTTGCCGCTCGCTCTTGGGAGCCTTGGTGTGACGAGCTCTTTACGTCACGGCGCTCTGGGGAGCCTTGGTGTCAAAGCTTGTTATCTCACCGCTCGCTGATGGGAGCCATAGTGTTCTTGAGCGTCTCTGGTCTTCTTGGGGCCCTATTGGGGCCCTTGGGGAAGCCTTTTGGGCCAATTGTGTGCCGTCTTCGGGCCCTTTTGGGCCGTCTTGGGGCGGCTTGGAGGCCTTTGGCCGTCTTGGGGCTCCCTCGGAGGTCTCTCTGGGCCCTCTTGGGAGCCTCTTTGGGCCCTCTAGGGGCTCCCTTGGGGCCGTCTTGGGACCCTTTTGGGCCGTCTTGGTGCTCTTTTGGGCAGTTTGGGGTTCCTCCGGAGCAGTCTTGGGGCCCTCTTGGACTGTGTTCGGGCCCTTTCGGGGGCCTATGGGGCCGTCTTGGGATGATCTTTGGAGCCTCATGGCTGTTTTGGACAGTTCTTGGCCCGAAAACGCAAAACCCAAATAAACCGGCGAAAACCTGCGACAAATCAATGTTTTTTGCCCCTGGGGGTCGTCTCGGGGGCCCTCTGGAGGGCCTATGGATCCATCTCGAGGCTCTCTTGGAACGCCCGGAGGCCATCTGAGGCTCTCTTGGGGCCGTCTCTGGGTCGTGCTGGTGTTCTCTTGGGCCGTCTTGGGGTCCTTTGTTTGTGGAGTTCTGGCGGCCCGACGCCCGCCGCCGCGGCCTGCGCTCAGAAGGCGATGGCTCTACACGAGCGGCGTCGGCCGATGCCTCCGCGCCCGCGTCGGCGCTCTCTCAAAAGACGAGCGGACTGTATCGGTGTCAGTCGTGAGCCCGCCACTTCCTCGGGCATGTCCAAGCGCGGCGCGGGTGGTGCTTCCCCTTTTTCGGGCAAGAAGCCAAAGCATATTGCCCGTCAAACTGGCTCGCAGCCCGTCGTAGGGCCTTGAGAGTTGCATTTGCAGGCCAACGCCCAGCAAGCTGGCTCAGACGGATCATGTCAATGGAAAGCTTCCGCCCGTATTCATACATCGCCAATTCAAGTCGATTGCGATACCTGAGTTGATTGTATATGTTTTCGGGTAGATACTCACTCGGGTGTCTGTGGACTTTCTGGGCGACCCCGCAATATGAAAACCCAAGCTCAACGCAGAGCAATTTCATAGAAGTCGCATAATTGCCCAGATCAATAATCAAATCGAATGACGCCAAGCGTCGTTTCGCAAACTCTACGTCTTCCCATGACAAATTTGCGGGTAACGGCTTACCTATAAGTTTACGCAAGCCAGAACTATCTGAACTGCACATGTCCATGTTGGTACCATTGGCGAATGTCCTCCACATCCCATCACCAGCAAAAGTTCAGCTCGCGTGGCTGATTTTCCCGGCGCCTCCCGGCGCCCATGTATCGAGGAATGGGCCCCTCGGTGGGGCTGAAACCAGCTGCATGCAGCAGATTTCGTGTCCCCTCCTTTCCCAATCCCCCCCTTTCGTCCGGCCCGATCCTGGCACGGCCCGCAATGGGGCCCGAGGCGGCGCTCCCGGGTCGTGCTTCCGGAATACGTCGTGTGCTGCTCAGCACCTTGCTGGCGCGGAGAGGCCCAAAGTTGCCGAAGAGCAGGAAGGCCAGGCCAAACAGCATGGCCAGCATTGCCGGCCAGGCGGTCGAGCGGGCCAGCGTCTGCCCCGTGCCCGGCATCGGACGCCACGCGCTGCAAATATAGAGGCTCGGCTGCTGTCACGGGGGGGCGGCCACGGGGCCTCCCAGCGCTTGCACCGCGGTGGCTTGAGCTTGAGCCGAGATGGCTACGGATTGGGCCGTCTTTGGGCCCGTTAAGCCGCTTCACTTGAAAAAATAACAGGACACGGCCGTGGAAGGCGCCCGCGAGCCGCTTCACTCGAAAAATGCAGAAAGGAAAAACGGACCCCGGCGGCGATGAACGCCATTGCGCGCGGCACTCGCCCCTCCCCTGGACCCCTTCCTAGAAAACTTCGCCACACCAAAAGGTCATCACTCGTACCTCGCTCTTTCCGTTACCTGGGCCGGCACGGAAACGGAAAGAGCGCCTCGGGAACTTGCCCGAGAGGGCTCATGACACCCTTCGCTCCGGGGAGCCTTGGCGTGAAGAGCTTGTAACGTCGCCGCTCTATGATGGGAAACCTGGTGTTCAGAGGCCTTTCCTTTGCCGCTCGCTCTGGGAGCCTTGCTGTTCAGAGCTCTTTACGTCACGGCCTTGATGTTCAGAGCTTGCTACGACACCGCTTGCTGTGGGGAGCCATGGTGTTCCTTGTTGTCTCTGGGGCGTCTTGGTAGTCTTCTGGTGCTTAGTGGGCCCCAGAAACGGCAGGGCAATTTTTTCACCGATTCCGAAAATGTGTCCCTTGAAAATAGCAAAAAAAACGGCGACCAGAAACGGCTCCAGGATTGGACCTGGAGCTGGAACCAGTCAAAAAACGGCGACGGAACCGGTGAAAAAACGGCGTCGGAACCAGCAAAAAAACAGCAAAACGGAACCGGTAACAAAAACGGCCCTGTCGTTTCCAGGGCACACTAAGTTCTGGTGGCCCTTTCGGACCGTTTTGGGACTGTTGGGCCGTCTTAGGGCCAGCCCAGTCCCCACACCCAAGCGGCCCAGTCCCAACACCACCTCTTCGGGCTCTCTTGGGAGCCTCTTGGGGTCATCTTAGTGCTCTCATAGGGCCGTCTTGGGGCCCTTGTGGGGCCCTGTGAGGCCGTCTGGGGGGCCCTCTTGGACAGTTTTCGGGCCCTTTTGGGCCGTCTGCTGAGAATACTTGGGACCTCTTGGGCCGTCTGAAGCCCTTCTGGGCTCGAAAGACGAGAATCTCAAAAACCTTGAAAAACCTTAGGACAAACAGTGTGTGTTCGCCTCCTGACGCCCTCCTGGGGGCCCTCTTGAGGGCAGTTTTGATACTCTTGGGCAGTCTTGGGACCAGCCCAGTCCCCACACCCAAGCAGTCCAGTCCCACACCGCCCCTTCGGGGCCCCCTTGGGAGTCTCTTGGGAGTCTCTTGCGAGCCTCTTGCGAACCTCTTGGGGCCCTCTTAGGGCTCTCTTGGGGCTGTCTTGGGCCATCCGGTGCTGTATTGAGGTCCTCTCGGACCGTCTGGGGGCCCTCTTGAATAGTTTTCCGCCTCTTTGGGAGGCCTCTGGGGCCGTGTTGGGACGAGAAGTGGGACCTCATGGGCCGTGTTGGAGCCGTCTCGTGGGGCTCAGCCTCTGCAGGGGCTTCCCTGGGAACCCCGACGGCAGCGCCCGCTCGCCGCGACGCCCATGTCGGCACGCCCCACTGGGAGACGGCCGGGGCGACGGCTGGGGCGACGCTGGCCGCCTCATGGATCGCTGCTGGCTGAGACCGTCGTGGCGACGACGGGCCTCCGAAGGCCAGAAATCTTCGAGCCTCGATCCTGGAGGTTCGCACTTCAAACCTCGACGTGAACTCCCACCAGCCCTTTGGGCGTGAGTGGTTTAGAGAGCCCGCTCTGTTCTCAACCCCCTTCTTCCCTTTCGGGGAGGGGTTTACCCCTCCCCCTACCCCCTCCCCCTGGGCCTGGAGAGGGCGCCCCGCGGGTCGTTGGAGGGGTCTTTTTCGACTCCTGGGAGGGCTAAAAAACGACACCTCTCACGAGGATTCTGGCCCCGACGGGGGGAGGCAGAAAAGTGCTCCCCTCTTCTTTGAAGCCGAAATCATTGATTTTACTACGGTTTTGGCCTCATTTTGGCCTTCTGAGGTGGCAGCGCTTATTAAAGCTCCCCTCTTCTTTCAAGCCCAAATCATTGATTTTACTCAGGTTTTGGCCCCATTTTGGCCTTCTGAGGGGGCAGCGCTAATTAAAGCTTCCCTCTTCTTTGATCGATTTCCTCCAAGATGGCCCCAAGAAGCGCCCAGGAGGCACCAAGAGGCCCCAAGATGGCCCCAAGAGGCCCCCAGGAGGCCCCCAAGAGGATCCCAAACGGCCCAAAGAGGCCCCCCCGAGGCACCCAAGACGCCGAAAAGCCCATCAGGACGACCCTCTACTCGCCTGGGCGTCGTTTCTGGACGGGCAGGAGGAGGGGCCCGAACGACTCACACCAGGACGAGGGGCCCGAACAACTCACACCACGAGAAGCCCGAACGACTCACACCAGGACGAAGAGCCCGAACGACTCACACCACGAAGAGCCCGAACGACTCACACCAGGAAGAAGGGCCCGAACGACTCACACCAGGACGAGAAGCCCGAACGACTCAAACCACGAGGAGCGCTTTCTCTCCCTCCTCCTCCGCCTCGCCTTTCTCCCGCTCCCACCACAAGGAGGATGTACCAGGAGGCGGGGGGAAGGAGGAACAGGGGAGATATGCGGGGGCAGGCGGAAACACGCCTGAAAAACACGACTGTCGGCATGCTTCGCTAGAGTTACTGTTTTGAGATGGGCTGGTGGGGATACGCGAAGCGTGAAGAATTTCGAAACTGCCGAGGCACCCCCGTTAGCCTTTCCAAACGAGAACGCCTTCGGTGGAGCTCCGTATGGGGCCACGAAACGTGTGGGGGTGTGCCGAAATTCGTGTGCGGGACGCATGCGGGCACACCCACTGGGACCTTCGGTGGAGCTCCCTATGGGGCCACGAAACGTGTGAGGGGTGTGCCGAAATGGGTGTGCGGGACGCATGCGGGCACACCCACTGGGACCTTCGGTGGAGCTCCCTATGGGGCCACGAAACGTGTGAGGGGTGTGCCGAAATGGGCGTGCGGGACGCATGCGGGCACACCCACTGGGACCTTCGGTGGAGCTCCGTATGGGGCCACGAAACGTGTGAGGGGTGTGCCGAAATGGATGTGCGGGACGCATGCGGGCACACCCACTGGGACTTCCCCATGGGGACACGAAACGTATGAGGGGTGTGCCGAAATGGGTGTGCGGTGATGACGGTGATGATGACAACGATGCTGATGATGACGATGATGATGGTGGAAGGAGGGAGGAGGGAGGAGGGGGAGGAGAGGAGAACCCGTGGCGACGTCTCTTCAAAACGATGACCCAACACGGCAGGATGGTTGGGAAATTATTCACTGCGTGGAGCTCCCCATATGTGCATCTACTCGCATGGACCTGTCCGCCGTGAATGTCTAGGCGCAAGAGCTTTCGAATATTAACGGGCTTCAGTTGTGACGGTCTGGACATCAATCTAACTGCGAATGAATTGGAGTGTGAATGAGCCTCAGTAGTACGAGCGCGTCTCTGTGCATGAGCCTGGGGCCTCCTGGGGCCTCCTGAAACCTACTGGGGCTTCCTGGGGTCTCCAGGAGCCTCTTGGGACCTCCTGGGACCTCCTAGGAAGGTTTCGTGCCCCAGGAGAGGCGCAATCTATAGCAACAGACGTACATAAAACATTGCGGATTAGAGCCACAGGAGAAGGGCAATCTATAGGAACACGCGTAAAACACCAAGGACTCGTGCCCCAGGAGAGGCCCAATACATAGGAACATGAGTAAAACATTTAGGATTGTGTACACAGGAGAAGGACCATCTATAGAAACATACGTAGAACATCAAAGAATCGTGCTCCAGGTGAGGCCCAATCGATAGGAGCATACGTAAAACACATGGGATTGGAGCCACTCCTGTTGCCTTCTGAGGCCTCCTGCTCCTGGGGCCTCTCGGGGCCTCCTGTTGCCTTCCGAGGCCTCCTGGCGCTTCCTGTTGTCTCCTGGGGTCTCCTGTGGTTTCCTGAGGCCTTCTGGAGCTTCCTGGGGCCTCCTGGAGCCTCTTGGGACATCCTGTGGCCTCTTGAGTCTTTCTGTGGCCTCCTGATGCCTCCTGGGACCTCATGTGGTCTCCTGGGGCCTCCTAGAGCCTGTTGGAGCCTCCTGTGGCATCCTGAGAAGAATCTGCGCCCACGAGCCTGGCCACCAAAACAACAAACCGATCGAGACATCCTCAACATCTGGCCCACCTGGGGGGTGAAAATGAGCGCCTCGCTCGAGACATCCTCCAAATCTGCTCCGAAAGCGAAGGATGTTGGGCCCAGAAACAAGCAAACCGCCTGAGACATCCCCACAAAATGGCCGCGAACGAGCCCGTGCAACCACCCCTGGCGGCTCCCCTTAGGGGTGCTGAAATGAGCGCCTCGCTCGAGACATCCTCCAAATCTGCTACGAAAGCGAAGGATGTTGGGCCCAGAAACAGGCAAACCGCCTGAGACATCCCCACAAACTGGCCGCGAACGAGCCCGTGCAACCACCCCTGGTGGCTCCCCTTAGGGGTGCTGAAACCAGCGCCCCGCCTGAGACATCCTCACAATCTGCTCTCCAAGCGAGGACGTTGGGCCCAGAAACATGCAAACCGCCTGAGACATCCCCACAAAATGGCAGCGACCGAGCCCGTGCAACCACCCCTGGCGGCTCCCCGTAGGGGTGCTGAGTATGAGTAAGTCTGTGTATGAGTAAGTCTGTGTATGTGTACGTCTGGGGTATGACTAATACTGTGTATGAGTAAGTCTGTGTATGAGTAACTCTGTATATGAGTGTGTCTGAGTGTGAGTAAGTCTGAGTATGAGTAGGTCTGAGTATGAGTAAGTCTGAGTATGAGTAAGTCTGTGTATGAGCAAGTCTGAGTATGTCCGACAGGAGGGGAGGAGAAAAGAGGAGGAGGAAGGAGGAGGAGTAGGAGGCGTCCAAGTAATAATTATTCACTGCGTG